TCTCATGTCTGAAATTCAGTCTTAGAAGACATCATAGAATCATAAAAGTTGGAAGGGATCTTTGGACAGCATCTAGTTCAAACACCCTATACACGCAGAGTCACCAAGAATATGCTACACAGGGTTGCATCCAAGTGGGTTTTGAAAAGCTCTAGAGAAGGAGATTCCACAACCTCTCTTGGCAACCTATGCCAGTACTTTGACACTCTCACTGTCAAGAATTTTTTCCTTAAGTTCCTGTGGAACTTTTGATGCTTCAGTTTGTGGCTATATCCTCTCGTCCTGTCACTAGCCACTACTCTCATCTACCCATTCCTCTAAAAGTACTCCACAAGATTAATTTTGAAGGGATGTTCCAAATCTGCTTAAGCTTCTTGGATGTATGCTCTCAAAAAATTCACGGGGTGCAAAGGAATAGTTTTAAGTTTAGGACAACATACTGTATTTTCATAAACAAATCTCAAAAAACCCTCACCTCTGACTTTCATTTCCTTAAGAATCAATCTGATGATATACCACCAACCTTTYACTTTCTAATGCAAATACATAATGCAATATATCTGTAAGCAGGTAATGAGGAAATCAGATTCATATAACAGCAGCAGTGTAACTCATGGAAGGGAAAATTCTGAAGTACAGAGAATACTCCTACTACTATATATAATATATATATGCTTGGTATTTCCTGTAACTAATTTCCAGGATTCTAATTCCTAGTTCAGGTAAGGATTAAAGCTAGTGAAGGTATTTGTTAAGAGGGTGACTGATTGGTATGTGCTGGTTCTCACCTCCTCTACAGCTAAGCAAAGCATTTTGGTTCCAAGCACCTTCAGAGATAGGTGCACCCCCCAATCCTCAAAACATATCTGAAACAGGAAACCACAAAATTCTCTAAGCACCTAAAGTCAGCCTATATCTCTAATAGCTATGTATGTAAAGAAACCATTGAGAATTCATTTCATACTAACAGATTCTAGCCAGCTCATAGAAAAACAAAAGCCATCTAGATCACATCCTACATATTAAGTATCTGATGAAGCACACATATTAAACACATGTGGTACAGCATGGACTGGGGTTTATGCTAATAAAGGCTAAAGAATTCCTATCCTCAATCTAGGATCCTTAGCATCACTAGTAGGATAAGACTTAAGAGGTAAAGAGTAGAGTTTTGGATCAGGAGTGGATAAACAACCATTACAGAGGCAGCAGTAAAAAGACTGGAGAGTAAAAGAGAGGATTGTAAATTAAGTTCTTGCAGGATTACTAAAGAACTGAGCATCAAATGTAATACTTTCAGAAAAATGTGCTAATCAAGTTATGTCCTGCAACTTTCCACCGTGAAGTGTTATAGAATATTTGCCAGGTGATTTATATATAACTTATCTTATAAAGTGGACAGTCTCAATTTCAGTATTTCATGTAACAAACCATCTTATTTCTTAGAGCGTTATTGATTAGATTCCATAAGGTCTGAAAAATTAGATTCTGTATCAAACAACTATTTTTTTCCCCCCATGCTATGCCTTGCAATACTACATATAGGCCTTTCATGCACCTTTGTAACTTTTGATAAGCTTTCCTGCAAATAAGGGAGGGGACAAAGAAGAAAACTCAGTTCCTTCCCTTTTCTTGCTCCTTTATCATGTACACATGACATAGCTTCACTACCAGCAAGATAAAGGTTTTCCTACTTGCAGTATCAAACCCAGTAACTACTTGGCTGCACAAAAACTCTTCAAAAAGCTCTAATATGAGAAATTTACAAAGATTTTATCTTCTAAATATAACATTTTAAAAATCTGCGTTTTTTTCGAATGCTAGAAATGTGCTAATTCTACATACAGGCTTCTTAGAAAAACTGTAGATAAGCTTCAAATTTAGCATTGAAAACTAAAAGCTTACAAGAATATTTCCTGGCTTTATGGAGTAAATGTTATTTTTATTACTTTGCCAGCCATACCAAATTCTTCAGTCTAACAAAGCAACCACACTTTTAGTTTCATGCCTTCTGTACTAAGATCCCTGCAAACACTTCATCAGTCGGCATCCCCTTCTGATTTGATCCTGCAATGTTACCTTTCACCTTTCCTACTGATCTCTTTGAGAGAAGTGAATCATCCTCTGAAAGCCTGCAGGGTGTCACAGGAGGTCCAGCACAGCAAGAGCTACATGAAATAGATATCACTTCTAATACTGTAAGTAATAACTCAATTATCCAAAGAATAATTTGTTTTAAAAAAGCCAACTCACAGCACTCAGCAGAAATTTGCCATTACGTTCAGATAATTCTCTGCCTGTTTTCTTTTGACTAGCTATTAGTACTTCCCATGTTAGAAATACTAGCATATATAAAACTGCTTGTTAAGCTTCTTACACTTCTTTTGAGCACTGTCTTCAACTCTTGACATCTGCATCATTTACTGTTTTCTGTTATTTGAGTCTGTTTTAGTAAGAAATTAAAGAAAAAATACCAGTTAAAGCTTATGCATAAATGATGAAACTAGTCTCAACCTTCTGTTGAAAAGTTAAGGGCAGAGAATTTGAAGTAAACAGGTATATAGGGGAAAAAAAACAGAGACAGAGTAAGTTTTGTATCTACACTAGAAGAAGGCTATGGTAAGACATTGGTGCGTAATTGTTTGTAGGCTAAAACTTTCAGACAAGCTTTTGAGGTTATATTTTTTTCCCTCTCCAGATCTTTCAAGAGCCATAAATTATATTAGCTACATAGGCAGCAATAGCATGTGTATATATACATGCATATATATAAATGCAGCATTTTTGTTCAGACATACCCATGACTATACTACAGATTTCATCAACACAGAAATACTAGTAGAATGGGACATGTCTTAATAATCGCTAGAATACCTAAACTTTCTATTGAAGACGTGTAAGCTGAAGATCTAATGAATATTTTTCCTACTGTTCACTTGAAGAAAACTTTTTTTTAATATTAGTGAGATCCAAAACTCTCATAATTAGCAGCAAATAATTAAGACACATTGATACCTGCAACCAAAGTAGGACTAAGCTGCTTCCTTGCTAAAAAATGGAGTTCTCAAACTTCATACCACATCCTCAGAGAGCAGCAGAATGATCTAGGTAATTCCCCACAACACACATGCATTCACACCCAAAAAGCAGTTATTTCAGCAAAGGAAATCCTGAAATATTCTGTTCAAACCTGCACTTTAATTTCCTCTCTGGATCTTTTGGATTTCTAGCAAAATAATCACACAACTCACTACTACAAATGTTGCTGCTTTCACCACTCAGACATTAACAGCATCCCATACGATACAATCCGAGTTACAAAAGCTTAGCTGAATCAAGCCATCTCTGTCCACTAATATGTCAGTGCACTTGTGAGAACAGAGAAATTGTAAATAATACAGAAAAACAAGTTACCCTACATATTTTTTTCCCTTTTTGTAGAAGTGATGGTTAACTCTCTTCTCTATCCATCTCTCTCTACACATATCTTTTGCAGAGAGGAACTGACCTGATGTGGAAAAAGAACAGAAATGACAGTGTTCAGAAAGAAAATCCTAGAAAGATAAGCAATGAACAAGAACAGAAACATAAAGTAACACATGCCTGTGTTTGGAAGTGTCTATGAGAGAAGACATCTATGATACATAGAAATAGCTATGTGGAGCTCTACAGAGTGGCAAGAAAGCAAAACTGATTTCTTTCATAACCAGACAACACTTTATTTCATAATCCTCGATGCAATATCTCATATCCTCTGCTGTAGGGCTATATTAACTGTCATTTCTATTTCTGGTCAACAAACATAAACATTTATAACTCCTGGATTGGGGGGGGTGGGAGGAGAGCGCACTCTATGAGGAGGACAGAATGCAGTGAAACAGGACCTCGAGAATCAGTGGAACATCACCACAGTCTCCATGTAGAAGACTCTCCTTGGCCAGTATCAGTTTACAAAAGAAAAGCTGAAGTGCTGCAAGGCGAACCTGGCATTTTACAAGAAGGGATAAAAAAAAAAGTGATAGAAATAAAAACAACAAGCCCCCCCACACACACCCCAAACACACACACACAGAAACTCAAATGCACAACACATACGCAGGGATAAGGAATGTTTCACTGCCAGCTGGCCAACTGACATCACTGAATGCTGATAAAAGGCACCTTTTTCATAATGGAATTTCTACTTCAACTAAAAAGCATGGTCTGCTGCACAAGTTAATCAGAGTATTTCCACCTCTGTGTGCCAGCAACCTTCCTGTCCTGCATAACCCAGCCAGCAGAAAACACACGAGTTTCCCACCTTGGATGTGGACAGCTCTGGCTGAAAGCGGCCAGAGCAGCTTTCCGGGGTCGCTGAGCAAACCGACCGGTGGCTTCCCTGGACAACATAAGGCCTCAGGGTAAGGAGGACGGGGCGAAGAGGAGGTGACCCGGGAGAGGCCGGCAGAGCTGCGCACCCGGAACTGCGTGCCGCCTGCGCAAAGGGCCGCGGGGCGCCTACCCGGGCCCGCTCCGCTCCCACCCTCCGGTGGAGTGTGCTCAAATCTCGCCGCCGCAACGGGCGCCACCGGTGCCAGGCGATCGGCGGAAGTAAGGCCGGGAGAGGCAGTGCCCGCCGGCCCCGCGGCGAGCGGGCGGCACCGACTCCTCGAGACCTCAGCGCGGCGCGGGCCCTAATCCACCGGTGCCAGGCGATCGGCGGAAGTAAGGCCGGGAGAGGCAGTGCCCGCCGGCCCCGCGGCGAGCGGGCGGCACCGACTCCTCGAGACCTCAGCGCGGCGCGGGCCCTAATCGCGGCGCGGGCCCTAATCGCAGTGCGCAAAGTGCGGGGGGGGGGGGGGGGGGGGGGGGGGGGGGGGGGGGGGGGGGGGGGGGGGGGGAAGGGGGCGACGGCGACCCCTCACAGTCGTTCGTTCGTCCGCCCGCCCGCGCCGGACCAGGCCTCGCGTCACCTCCCCTTGGCGCGGGCCGCGGCCGCTCGCGGTGCCAGCCGCACTCACCAGGGGGCTGCTGGTGCTGGCCATGAGCCCCGCCCGGCCGGAACGGTCTCTTCTCCCCTCGCCCTTTAAGCGCAGAGCGCACGGCCGCCGCGCCCGAGCCAATGGGACACCCGCATCCTCCGCCCGTGACGTCACCCACAACAATGCCCCCCCGACATGGGCGGAACTTCCGTGCACCTCGCCCTCTCACTGCTGTTGGCAGCTGCCACTCAAGTGCGGCCCAGACGGAGGGCCTGCTACATCACACTCTACTTCCTCAGTAGCTTTGAGCATGCGTAGTGTTGGGGCTGACGCCACTGGCTTTACTTCTGCCAGGAGCCTGTGTGGGGCAACGGAGATAGAGGGTGCGATCACCTGGTAGCGCGCCCGCGTCAGCCGCCATCTTGCGCCACATCCGGGTTGCTGCGGCGCCTGAAAGGCATTGTGGGAATGGCGTCATGGCAACGCCCGTCGGGTCGACCCGTGGTGACCCGGCGCGTTGTCCCGCAGGGCCGCCGGGCGCAGCGCGAGCGGGGGCGCCCGAGGGCTGCGGGTGAAGCCGCGTCCGCGCGCGGCCCTGCCCGCCCGCTCCCGGCGACGGGAGGTTTGCCGCGCGTGCTGCGGTGCGCGGTGGTGCGTGGCTTTCTACTGCCCTTACCCTGTCTTTGCGCCTATCCACAGGGGACGTTCAGTGTTCGTTATAGCAATAAACTCAAGTGTACRGTAAATACAATTTCATTGAAAATAATATGATTTCCCGGTGCATCTTGAAAGTATTCCCTAGATTATGTGCAGACTGAATAATTATCCAGAGTAGCATAGCAAGCAGTGACACAAGTGCATCAGAAGATGGATGCCCATCTAAGTTAACCTTACTGCAACGGAGAGTGAGTCTATACAGAACTACTTTGGTACATACAGCTTAGTTGAGTAAGCAAGTGATATTATTGTAAGCCTTCATAACATCTGCTTTGTATTCACAACTCACAGTGGCGTAACATTTGCTATAGCTGTAAATGCATTCCCATGAGATCYGTAGCTTCTCCTAGTTTCCTCACTTTCACTAGGCACCATATATTCAGCATTGATGTTTTCTCAAAAGTATTTTTTCATTACTCCTGTTTATTAACAACATTTTTAAAATAACACATACCTTCAGCCCAGCCAGGTTCTTATTTTGCCTACCAAAGTTACTAACACTTTGCAAGGCTTTACACCTTCAATGTTACCACTCAGAAAAATGTCTTAGTAATTTTTCAACAATTAACTCTATATTCAAGTGCAAATCCTCTTCGGTGCTGGGCAGTCACCTCCATCTGCCACAGGACCTCCAAATTGAGACAGAATTTAGAAATATACCTGTGCTAGCTTTAGTTATGCCTGAACCAATATGCCCATAAAAATACTGGTTTACATTCTGACAACTACAGTTGATTTCTTCTGGAGTGTTTTAACTGAGCACTTGGCATGTATTATTCATCTTTCATCAATCACTGTAAGCTGTGGAGGCCATGCTAACAATATAGCTACTACTTTTCAAATGTAGTTTTATTTTCTTTGGTTTCAAACTTATCTTTGGAAAATAAGCAGTGTATTGCAATCTACATCAAGAGAATTAAAATGGGAAGCAAGTTCTCTGCAAAATAAAGAAAAGATTAAATCAACAGAAGTAATAGTAGTAGTGCACATAAAATTCACAAAGCAGGTGTAACTGATTTAGTCTTTCACCTTTGAAAGTAACATAAGAGATGAATCTTTGACACTTGTAAAAAGTAGACTATTAAATTAGGTATCTCCAAATAATCTTTCCTTTTCTGTCTGTAGAGAGCCTATTTTTAGGGTAATTTATAGTCCTACAGTCCACCGTTTTCATCTGGGAGCATAGCTATGATTTATGATTATTCAAGGAGAGTCAAGAAAAGTATGTCTCTCCCTTTTGGTCCAAAAAAGAAAGGAAAAGAAGAAGAAAAAAGAAAAAAAAAAAAAAAAGATACGGCAGCATCAATTATTGTCAATACTATGGGTGACCAGAAATTTCTGAATATACAGAAATTCCAAGAATGCATAAATATACTAACTCCACTCCTAGAGCAAATAAAAAATCAGGCTGTGGCGGACAGCTTACTGCATTGTTCAGAGAGAGGTGCTGCTCAGCCAGACACATCTCACCACAAAATAAATGTTAAGAGCAATGTGCAGCTTTGTTGACAGGCACTAGAGCACAGACACATAAATACTAGGCTGAGGAGGATTGCAGTCATCAATTAGTAGCTCAGACATGAACTCATGACTAAAGGAAGCATTTTGGAAAGGACTGTGGGATTTCCATCTGCAGCAGAACAGGTGGAGGCAGCCTCTGCAACAGGGTAGTGATAGCACACGTTACAGAAGCACCCAAACCATGTGTGTGTGCATGCACATGTGTGTGTTCATGTGTGTACACATCTGTATGCAAATGAACATCTGTGTATGTATGTGTGCATGTGTGTACAMATCTGTGTTTTCATGCATGTGTGTGCATGCCTGTTTGTCAGAGCAGCTCCTGGTGGTGCAGGCCATGGTTTCCTTGGGGATAGGCAGAGGCATCATCTTGCTCCCAGGACACAGTTGAGACAGGCCAGCAGACACCAGCCTGCATGTCTGTGGGGCTCCTGGTACACAAAGGCAGCGGGTAGTGAGGGGGGCTGATGAGGCTTCTGGTGGGTGTAGGGTCCTGACCCCAAGTGGATTGCACTGGGCAATTCTCCTTCTTGGGAAATGTACCCCTGCTATGATCTTGATGTCATCTCCAAATCTTGTGACTACAGAAAGCATTTCTACAACTGATTGTCCAGTTACAAAATCACAGGTATTTTAATACATAATTTGCAAATGAAAACAACTACATTTCTGTAATGAGGAACCCTTGACTGTAACAAACATGAGAATTCTGAGACATTTAACAAAAACTAGAGTTTTCCCAGTCCATATACACTCCAAGCAGCTTGTGATTTCCATGGTCCAAGCATGGAAGTGTCCCCAAAACACCAGTTGCTGCACCAACTGCACATCTGCTTGGAGCCACCACAGTGTCTCAGGCAGGGATGGCATCTCCCTGTCTCCCTTTCGCGTGGTGAACAACTTTGCTTCCTGTCTGCAGCACACATGAAGGTCACTCTCGTTGTGACAGGACTGCACAGCCACAGCCAGGCTGGCACCAGGTGAGAACACTGGTCAGACTAACCCGCTCAGCCATAAAATGGTAAGTTTTGCACTGGCCTTAGGGATTTAGTCCCACTAAGTTGCTTTTCCTCATGAATGTGAGGGAAGAAGCAACCTAAATGCTGCAGTTCCACACTAAAAATCTGTCCCCAAGTGGCCATGTCTGGAAAAATGAAACAAACCTGTGTGCACAAAAACACATCCTTCCCAGTACCATCACTATGCAGAAATATCTGTAATATCAGATATTACAGGTCTCACTTCAGAGCTAATAGCTGAGATCTGTGTATGTGATTAGCATGTCTCTTTTCAGAACTGCTGCAGTGCCTCTACCAGGAAGCGATCTGTAGATTACAGTAAAATGCAGAAGATGAAACAGGCTATTTTTAACTTGCAGCAACACTACTGGCTTCAGGAACATATGCAGGAGCTGCACAGGCACCCTTGGCTGCTGCCAGCACTGGGCCATGGCGAGCCCGGCAGAGTGGCAGCCAGGCACCCGTGGCTACTATGATGCATCCAACCCACACCTGCATCTTGAAACAAGCACCAAGATGGCTCAGATGCAAGGAGATACCTCTATGGCTAAGTGCCTRATGGAGATGTAGCTCCTGTCCTTTGTGCAAGAATGCACATTGTTCATGGAGCAGGAGCTTTTCACTGGTAAACAAAAAGAGGCTTTGTTTTTGCCAATGACCTAACTGCAAAAAAATGGTTGTCCTCTTTCTGGCATGAACAACTAATATTTTCTATGACACCCTTTCCTCTTCACACTTGTCCCAGTTTGTAAGTAGGACCATAAAAATAGAAGAAAGAAGGAAAGAAAGAAGGAAAGAAGGAAGGAAAGAAGGAAGGAAAGAAGGAAGGAAAGAAGGAAGGAAAGAAGGAAGGAAAGAAGGAAGGAAAGAAGGAAAGAAAGAGAGAAAGAGAGAGAGAGAGAGAAAGAGAAAGAAAGAGAGAGAGAGAGAGAGAAAGAAAGAAAGAAAGAAAGAAAGAAAGAAAGAAAGAAAGAAAGAAAGAAAGAGAGAAAGAGAGAAAGAAAGAAAGATCTATCTTCAGCCCTTTTAATCATCAACCTGTTATCATCTTCAAACTCTGTTCTTAATACTCTTTTAATCCTGGCCTGAAGAACATAAGCAATGACTTCTGCTGTTGTTGAGAAATAAATTCCAATTAAATAATGCTTCATAGTGACTTCACTTTCATATCAATATATTAAGTAAGTAAGGTTTCATGAAACTGGTGCAGAAATTCTTCTAGAGAGAGAATCAATTTGGCAATTTCAGAAAGCTTTCCTTGAATTCTGAAGGAAACAATTTGGGATGCTGAAATCAGACCAGACATGGGATAGGGAAAGCTGAAAAGCACCAAGAGCCCTCACATATATGGTGTTGCTTTGCTGGTATTCTTCTCTGCAGAAAATTATAGTAACTGTTAGCAACAGCAGCATCAGATATTTATCCTAGCAGTAGATTGTGTTAAAATATAAAATGTGCCCTTGAAGACTGTTTTTAGAAGAAGATAAAAAACACGAATGACCACAAAGGGCTATCTTCTGTCAGGGAGAGTAACCAGCAAACCTTGGTCCTCAGGACACTCAAAGGCAGTGCCACGGGGCAGGGTTGTTCGGTACTTGGAGCTGGAGCCTTTTTCCACATCCACAAAAGCAACCTGGCAGTGAATGGGTTGGGCACCAGAGCCGTGGGGAGCAGACCTGGAGGGGAGGATGAGTATGTATGAGTGGATGTGCAGATACCACTGCAGGCATTCTGTCAGCACACTTATTGCAATCCTGAGCTCTCTAGCTGGGAGGTGCAGCTCCAGGACTCAGGTTAGTGGGGCATCAACCATGTGGAGCCTCCAGCTCCTCTGGCAGAAAGTAAAACCTTGAAATGGGGCTCTGATCAGGACTGGTCATACTGCTTTGGCAGAGAAACAAAGCACTGGTCAGTTCTGGAGAAGTGAATAAAGCCTTAAAAAGATAGATCACTGGCTTGTGGTCCAGTCAACCCCTTGTCTGTGCTATTCTTGCTTTTCACTTTTCTCCACTTTTATCAGATCAGTCCAAATATTAACCTTGGAACAAGCTTTTGTTAAGAGTGAAAGCAGCCTCCAGGTTTCAGTACTGCAAACAAGAACTCAATGTAATACGAAGAAGCAAAGGCATCTTTAGGAAAAAAATCATCAAGAATAATATAGAGTTTTAAGAATAAAGATTTTTAAGAAATCACAGTTCAGTAGTAACTGTTGGGTGGCAAAGAACTAGGAGCAGCTCTGCACTGTTCTCAGTTTCACCGAGGAACCAGGGATATGGTGTGGAAAGGCAAGAAGACAGGGCACATGCTTCTACAGGCTACGTTCCTCATAGAATATCATTCTCTTCATTCAAATGTTTGACAAGACTGTCACCTTCAGAGAGCTTCAGTAGTTCAGTAGGAATCAGAGCTCCTCTGGTACCATTGTCACACAAGGTGCAATAGTCACTGCTGCTAAAAGATACGTTTGTCATTTCCAAAGACTCTTGAAGCATAGGGAAGTCATCTGCTAGATGCTGTAAGCGGGAGGAATCATTCCTTTCCATGTGAGGGCTATCAAGGTTGCTTTTAATTATTTCAGAGATTTTCAGCCCAGCTGTATTATCAGTATAGTTCCGTGTAAACTGCAAGGTCAACCTCACTTCTCTCTGTTCTGTTCTCACATATCTGCTGGGGACATACTGCTCGTTGAGACCAGAGGTAAATGCATAATTTTCTTCTGCAGCAACCAGATCTGTGCTTTCTATAGATTTCAAGGAGATCTGGGAAATCATTTCTTGGGTGCTTAGTGCAGAATCTCCATCGGCAGATACTCTGTTCAGGTTGCTGGTGTCTTCTCCTCTGAGCTGGCCACAGGCCTCATCAGGTCCAACCCAGTCCTAGTGAGAGGATTAATACATTCAGGACATTTGCTTAGACAGGGAATTTGCAAAGTAAAGTCTGTTTCTTTATGGCTTTGGAACAGTACCCCAAAAGTTCAGTGCAAATCTACATGGCAAAGTTAGAGTAAGAATCTAGCTTCTATTTGTCCCAAGGGAAGATTTCACAACAAGGGCATTTTCAAGATTTCAGAATGTAATCTAAGCTGCTTGTTTCACCTTGGTTTTATAAAGATAGAGCACTTTTGCACTCAACGTGGGTATCAGGAGGTAGTAGATGAGAAGGCAAATACGATAGCAAGGTTTCTTAGCTTTTGTTGATTCTCTGAATTGGACTTATTCTGTGTTTTTATTTTGTTTTTCTTCAATTAGATTTACTAGATTTCAGTTAGAGCCAATTTTCAAAGTGGATCTCAGTGCGGTGAGAACAAGATTGGTCCATTCCTACATGCCCTGATGCAGGCAGATGGGAAAGGCCAGCAGGGAGAAAGGGAGAACCTATCAGGCAAAGAGAAGGGGACTGGAACTCTTTTGATCTTGTTTATTCCATCTGACAGAAAAATACCTGTCTCTTGACAAAAGAGAAACTTGATTTACAGAACCAGAATAAGTGTGCTTTCTACATAGACTGTTCAGGTACTCCAGGTTATCTGGATGAGCAAGAGGGAAATTAGAAGCAGTAGTTATTGGTTCTGTGTAGAAAGCTCTGGGGCATGGAATGTAGGAACAAATATAGACAGGAGATAAGGGACTGAGTTACTGAGGACTCTAAACAGCAGCTCTGCTGGTGCAGTCTGCATGTGAAAGTATGAAACTGAATGAGAAATAGTAAAATTCCAGAAAGAGGAGAACCGTGTGTTAGAAACTCTGCTCAGCAGCTAGATGATGAACCCTAGGAAAAAAATACCCGCCTTGTGAACTGAGGGTCATAACTTTACTTCTTACCTTAAAATTTCCATTGTGCAAGTTGTAGAGCGGCTGAAAGAAGGCAGCTGGTGTGGGAATGTTAAGGCAGGACAGGCTTTTTGCCCTGAAATAAGAAAATTACACTTTAATTACACATTAATGTGTAATTACACATTTATGCAATTGTTCAGCAACTTATGTGATCAAACCACTGTTTCTGGAAGTGCTTTCAAAAGTGATAGTTTTATTATGTTTAGATAGAAATGTTCTGCCATATATCGTAGTCTTGTTACTAGAGGGTATTGTATAACATCTCTTACTGTATGGACACTATTCATTTTGTTTCTCTCAGTGCTACCTGTGCATGGAGCATCATCATATATGTCGAGGCAGGAAAGGAAGAGGTGAGAGGTCAGCCTTTGGTCTACTAGCCAAAGGCTGTGTACAGAATAGTTGAACAAGGGCATTAAAGACACTTCTGTCCACATAGCTTGATTTCAGAAACTAAGAAACACAGACACTGAGTATATGAACCCTTTATGCCTATACTGGTATTTTACAAACTGACTTTTGACACGTGTTACAAATGATTTAACATGTACATCAGTTTGACCACCTCTATGGATTACTTGTGCTTTTAATTTACCTATGCAAAACTTAACCAAAATTTTCCATAGGTTTAAATACCTTTAAGAAGCTATAGCCTCAGCCCTGATCTTGAGCTGAGTTTGTGTGTGAAGCATTTCACTCTCCCTAATCACCAAGTTGCGGTTCACTGTCATTGGCCAATGAACCCGTCATTTTCTTCACACTGAACCTTCAAAAGAGCCTTTGGGTCTCACAGTGCAGCAGAAGCAAGAAGCAAACTGGATATAAGAATACTGCATTTACCTTTACTGGGCTAAGAAAGTCACAGGAAATCTAATAAGAAAATATGGTGTACCTTGAGGAAAGCTTGCAGTTCCAAACTACATAGAGCACAATAACAAAACTCAGAGGAATGAACAAGAACTGCACAGTTCTGACATTAAAGAGCTTTTCAGGCAGTTGTGATATACCTAGGGAGAAGAATCAGCACAAAAAGAATTAGTTAAAAAAAAAATTAGTCAAGATAGGTCCCAAAACAATCAAGTAATGCAAATGAAACAGGCTGCTAAAATATAAAAGTGATTTGATTAGAAAAACTTGAAGGAAGCTGGTTCTGATCTAAAAAGCTTCATCTTACTAGGTATCTCTCCTCCCTCCCACGCCTTTTTTTTTTTTTTTTTTTTTTTTTTTAATTAATTTGGATGTGGTAAAGATGTGAACTAACGTAAAAACAACTTTTTTTATACCTGCTCTTTGAAATGATGTTGTCTGGCTCCACTCACTCCACTCACTGTGGTAAGAATCCTCACTTTCAGAAACTTTGCAGCGAACTCTTGCAATGTAAGCGATGCCCTTGCGAAACTCTGTGGCTTCAATTTCTATCTGTGGCAGTGAACTGGTTGGTGTTTTGTTCAATGCAGTCTGCAAATTATTACAGAATTAGTTCTATTAATGAGGCTGAACAAAGGGTCGGTCTTTGAGTGACTGTTTTCCCTCCCTTACCTCCCAGGGTGTGCTGTGCTCCTTGTATTGCAGCTCATACTGCAGAATTTCGGCAAGGTACCATGGCACACTCCACCATATTTGACACTTGCTGGCAGTGATGTTGGCCTGGAGGCCTGAAGGTGGATCAAGCTTTACTGCAAATGGAGAGGTATGTTACTCATACTGTTTGGGATTGGAATAAAACAGAAGGATGTACATGTTTCTCAGCTGACTGCAATCCTGGAAAATAAACTGGACTTTAAGCAGCAGTAGCAAGACCTGCAGTAGACCACATAAGYTTACAGAGCAGGTCAGAACATCCACAGAGCTGTCATAAATTCATGATAACTCCAAGAGCCCTGAGCATAGGGCTTTTATAGTCCTCCAAGCACAAAACTTCTCTGAGTGTCACATGCTGCTTTTCCAAGCAGAAGGGATGAGCCAAGCTTTCAAATACCAGAACTCTTTCTCTGGGATGCCAGTCCATGACCTCATTTCTTAGGAAAAAACAAACACAGAGGCAGTTCAGCTGCACACAGGAGAAGACTACGCACAGTGCAGATATTTGCCTGCATCCAATGTATCCCTGAAAGCTGCTCCAGAGCCAGCACTCTTCAGAGATACCTCAGGACTGCTTCCTCACAGCAAAATCTGGCCGGCACATTCTCAAGAGTGGGGGGAAGACTGCCTTGTTTCCATTATTTCTGCTTGCAGCATTTGACACATCCTTGTCCAGCGAGCAGACCCCGTCTCTCCCCGCCTGTACCCCCTACTTACTGTGCTGGCGGGGGCTGTACTCCGGAAAAGGGACAAATGTGCGATTGCTCCCCAGGAAGCTTCCTTGGAGCGAGACCCTGTACCCATCTGTTTCCAAGATCTGGCCGGCCAAGCAGATGGTGCAGCGGTAGAGATTCTGCATCCCCATGCTGACTCTCAGCTTGCAGCTGGCATTTTGTCCCTTTGACCAGAGGCTGGAAGAATGAAAGAGCTGAGAGTTCCTCTGGTCACGTGATTGATTTATGAGGGATGGAAGGCAGCTTAGCACAGAACTAGTCTGGGGCATCACAAGCCCCATAGCGCAGACAGGATGAGAGCATTTCCCGGCTGGCTGAGAGGGGACTGACAGGGCTGTTAGGGCCCTGAGCTTCTCATGCCGATGGGCCCAGGAGTCCCCAGTACAGAGTGCGCTGCTGGCAAGATGCGCATTAACATCTCTTTTATATGAGCAAATCAGCATTGACAGCAAACTGTGTCCAAGGCTGGTTTGTTTTCTGCATTCACAAGCTTCAGCACAGCAGAGCAAGAATAATGACAGAATGAAAACATTGTTTGGGGGAAGGAACTACAACAAACAATCTTTTAATGGCAATCTGTCTAGTGTGACTCTTTATGAGCAAATTATCCACGTTGCATGTGGCTCCACAATAAACTGGGATACAATAACTTATCAACCTGATGTTATTCAGTGCATTTACAATCTCATGTCAATGAGTGTCATCACATTATTTTTCAAAGTGGCACAAAGGAGGCATCTAATGTCAGTGCTTCACATAATAGTCACTAGCTCTTTCCAGTCAGGATAACTTTATAATATAGTTGAACCTATTTTCTTAACATATCACAAGACTTATCTCCCATCATGCTCTCACTGTGGGGTTTGGCTGCAATGAAGCAGAACCCACTCTGGGCCTCCCCAGCCTCCTGGCCCCCTGTGCACTTTCATACAGCTCTTACTTTGTGAAGTGCAGGTGGAAGGGTCCCTCACCCATGGGCTCCTCTGCCATCCACGTGCAGCTCACAGTGTTCACGTAGTTGTTCAGACAGCTCAAGCTGCCAGGGAGCTCTGTGAAGGAAGGAGATCAAAGCTTCATCCATGCACTACACAACAAGACCTCACTTTGTCTCCCAAACATGCATAAAAAGTATGGTTTGTTATCATCCCCTGTACAGATGCCTCATCTATTCTTCCTCATGACAGCCCTCTGGTCTTGTACTGCACTTCACTGCAGCAGATGAGTCTAGGATCTCAGACCAGAACCCTGAGCCATGGCTATATTTTTTTTCAGTTTCCCAGCCTTCTTCTGGAACTAAGAATAACCATTCTTCAGCTTCAGTATCTTCAGCTCTCTGAGCATGACACTACCCAGAAGCCATGCCATCTCTGAGCACCACATGATGGTAGTCACAAGATGTCACATTGCATTCTTCAGGGGTGAAAACAAGAGCACAAGTGCAGCTTCTGCATGCATCTGTCCTAGACCCACTCTTACCTGTCCCTCTTCCTCCACCAAGCAGCAMCAGAGCAATAACAGACAGGTGGACAACAAACTGCTGCACATCCCAGCCCATTCCAGTGGTATCCAGAAGACAACTGTGAAAGAACTTTTATTATTATTTGTACCAGCACAGTGAAGCTTCAGCAATGCCTGCAGTGCCCGATACAAGCTGGCCTTGACTTTGAGGGACAGGGCATGAACTCAGTTCCCTCAGCAGGCAGTGTTGTCACTGCAATAAATGTACTTTGCACGGGAATCTAAAACAAAAGCCTCCTGAGAATGTATTCTGTATTCTTCAGCATCTGCTACATGAAAGCCTCATTGGATCAGAGCAAGGGGTCATGTGTAATTGTGTCCCATTTCTGGCAGTGGCCAAAAGCAGAGGGGATTGGTTTGCCAAGAAGAAAAGTATACATGATGTTCTCCAAGAACCTTCTCAGCTTCCAACCATTTGCAATTTAACCATTTCCTGGAGGAAGCAGTTTCTGCAAATTCAGGATTTCAGTGGATGACGTTGCCCATCAGTAGTAGGCTCCTGTCAAAACTATCTACACTGGAAACGCTAGTGTCTGGCTTTATTAGTGGATTCTTCTTCAAGGAATTGAGTAATTGGCTTCCTACCCTCTCTCTGTTCTCTTTGCTGGAGGAATGTTTGCTTGATCTGTTGATGTGACAAGGCCCTTTCTTCAAATCACCAAAGTTGCCCTGAGCTGGCAGGAAATGGGCTGAGATCAAGAAGAGAAGCTGGGACAAAAGTGGGTGTTGCAGCCTACAGATTTTTATTTTTTAAAGAAATTTTCCCCACTTCATATCTGAAAAAGACCAAGACCTGTCATAGTTTTCTCCCACATGCACACAGACAAGAAGGCATTAGTCCAGACAGGTAACGTGCTGACCAGGTTGGTCATCTACAGCCTCAGAATTCTGGGATTTACCTCATGCACTCCCTGCTCCAACAGGTAGAAACAGAGGGAATGGCTGATGCCTTGCTGGTCAAAGCACTCACCTAGGGTGTAGAATGCCCAGATCCTAGTTATTATCCACAAAGGGTATGTGGGGTTGGGGGAGTTATTGAGGTTTGCACTTTATCTTTTGCAATAGAGGAGACTACTTCTGTCTACAAGGTTACGGTGGACTTCTTAAGAAGACTCTTCTGTGAATTTTTCTGATGAACTTTTCATTTAAAAGGAATACTTTTCGAAAACAACTTTCTGAATTGATTATTTTCCAGCAAAGAGAAGTTTAATATGAAAAATTCTGACCTGATCGACTCAATAATAAAAGCTGCTTTTGCAAGATGCCTGCAGCTTGACATTATGCCCTAGCACTGGATGCAAGGCCAGCCCCCCACCCCACAACACTGGCAGGGGCTATGATCACTCTTTAGGAAGCAGCTGGGGAAAAAAATAGTAATAAAAAATAAAATAAAAGAATCTTCTGGCTTCCAGATCACCACCACTTATGGAGTTTTGGCAAATATCCTGTTTTGTTGCAGAACTTATTCTGAGCAGGGGCTGCAGAGGGGAAGTGCCACTGTTAGCTGATTTTAGCTGAGGGAGGCTGTAAGGCATGAAACATCTCCTGCTTATCATTCTAATCAGAAATGCTAACGATCCCTGTGATAGATACAGTAAGACTGACTAAATGTGAAATTGATAGGGCTACATGAACATACAGTACATGTGCTTGCAGGAATATGCTAAGGCACACAAAAAAACATAGGTCAAGATAGCTAAAAACAGGACAATATTTCCTGGTCATTGCCACTAGTCTGATAAACTCATAATGAGATCTTTATCCAACATCTTCTACACTTTACAGCACTGATCAGGTCACACTGGCTTACCTGGAAAGAAATACAGTATTTTTAAATGCACATTTGTGCATTAGGATCCATGATGATGGTCAGCAATAGGTATGGAGTGCCAAATTCTGAAAGGTTTAGCAGAAAATAATTCGGTGAAGGAGCAGATAACAAGAGCCAGCAGCACATTGATGCAGCTTGAGAAGCCAACACACAGTCCTTTGATGCACATAAATTAATAAAGTGCTATTGCAGCTACAGGAGGCATTGGCAATGCCTCTAATATTTTCTCTCTCTGGTGATCTATAATTTTAAAAAATGCTGAAGAGCTAAAAGTGGTTCAGAAGAAGGTTAGAAGAATGATTTTATCCTGTATAGCCTGTCTTAGAAATGAACAACCAAAGAAAACTATTTTTCTTTAATGCAACAAAGAGAAGTGCTAAGAAGCAATTTTCCACAGACTATAAACAGCTACATAGGAAGATTTCAAACAGAAAGGTCTTCCTTAAAAATCTAATAGAGGAAAATGGTGAGAACTCAGTAGCCAGATACTGAAGATAAATACAATCAGGCAGAAATCAAATGCAGAATTTCTTCTAAAGGGAGCTACCTATACTGCTGGAACTTTTTGCCTAGATGTATGAAYCAGCACTTGCGTCTATAAATCCTGATTAGCTGTCTTGAAAAGGCTTGACTCACAAAAGTTGTGAGATTGATACAGAATTTATTAGTTATAATAATCTGTCCTAAGGTAATCATGATGTTATTTCCCTTTAACAATACCTGGGCTCATGAAGGTAAGTCTATAGCAAGTCCTGAAGAGCTGGCTGGCAAGCAGGTACTGCAGCTTCTCAGTATCTACCAAGAACTTCCCACTCATGAAGAGAGGGCATAATTGTGCTCAGGGAAAATGCCAAGTACATGAACAGAGATCGATGAGGTCACTTGATAATATCTGCTGATCTCTATGATGAGCTAAACCCTGCAAGAAAGTAGTTGTTAACTCTGCGGGAAACCTGATGAAGCTCTGATATCTTTCCCCCCTCCTGCCATTGGTACTATGCATTTATGCTTTCCACCTCCTTCACACTGCTCATCAGCAGAAAAGGAATTGCCATTTTAACCTGAGGTAGGTTGAGCTGGTAACAGCTCAGTAAGGCCCAGCAGATAAAGTGTCTTGCCAATTCCCAGAAGAAAATACCTGCTTCAGTGAAGTCCAYTTACCTAGGTTAATATGAAGGTTTTGACAGGCCATGTGGCAACATGGACATTCACAGATTCWCAGAATATTTAAGGTTGGAAGGGACCTCTAGAGATCATCTAGTCCAACCTTCCTGCTCAAGCAGGCACACCTAGAGCATGTGGCACAGGGCGGCATCCAGGCGGGTTTT